GATTAGTAACCACTATGCTACCAGAGCTCCTTGCTGAGAGACATTAAGAAGGGCCTTTTGTGGCGCTGTGGGTTAATGCGTCAGACTGCAAAGCCGTTTGAACTGCAAGGCTGGCAGTTCAAGCTCACCAGCTGCTCCTCGGAAACCCTATACAGGGTCGTTATTGGTCGGAACCGACTTGACAGCACTTCACGACAACAACAACCACCAAATATACAGATAACCAGAGGCAGGAATTGGAAGACTTACTATGTAAATGATGTCAAACCTCCCAAAATGATATGCAGATTCAATGAACTCCCAATCAAAGTCTCAACACGGTTTTGTTTCGCTTTTTTTCCTTGTACCTACTGATACAAGCTCTGGTAGCATAGTGGTTACGAGTTGGGCTGCCAACCTCAAGGTCAGCAGTTTGAAACTACTAGCCGTTCCGCGGGAGAAAGATGAGGCTTTCTGCTCCTGTAAAGATTTACAGCCTCGGAAACCCTGTGCAGGGTCGCTATGAGTCGGAACCGACTCCACGGCACATAACAACAACAACAACTGATACATTGACGCTAAAAGTGACATAGAAACCCAAAAGACCTAGGAGTTAAAGCACTCTTTATTATACATAAAATAAAGACAGCAACCATGCAGAGCTCACTACCGAATTCCGAGGCTTATGATAAAGCTATTTAATCAGGTCTATGAGGAGCTCTGGTAGCATAGTGGTTACGAGTTGGGCTGCCAACCTCAAGGTCAGCAGTTCGAAACTACTAGCCGTTCTGCAGGAGAAAGATGAGGCGTTCTGCTCCCGTAAAGATTTACAGCCTCGGAAACCCTGTACAGGGTCGCTAGGGGTCGGAACCGACTCGACGGCACTTAGCAACAACAATGAGGTGCTGGCATAGAATACACAAAACCAAGAGTCTAGAAACTTCTATAATGGAAGGGTGTTCTCAGTAAAGGACACGGGAGACACGGAAGAGTAAAGGAAAATGGAACCGCACCCATCACAAACAAGGATCATCAACGTAAATAAACATAAAGCTGAAACTATAAAGCCTTTGAAAGAAATCACAGTAGACAAATGTTCCTTAAAAAAGAAACAAACATAAGAAAAAGGGAAACTGGACCTCTTCAAAACTAAAAACTTCTATTCACCAACAGATACCATTAACACAATAAAAATGAAGCCACCAGCTAAGAGAAAATAATTACAGCATACATACCTGGTAAAGGGATTTGTAACCAGATTATATAAAGAAATCTTATTAATCCATAACAAAAACAGGCAAAAGATATGAAAAGACCCCTCACAAAGGAAGATAAGGAATCTATCATCTCTATGGGGTCAAACTGGCAGCAGCAACTCAAAACGTTGTATGAGAAGCTTCAGGACAGTAAGTGTATGTTCGTGGTGGGGAATCATCTGGAAAGGAAAGCAAGAGAGGGTGTTCAACGTAAAAGCCGCCATTCGTGTCAATGAAGGGCACAGGTGGAAAGTGCTAAATTGGTGTATTCTTTGTGCTGTATGTTTTCACCGGATTTTTTTTTCTTATGTTATAACTAAATTAATCTTAACTCAATGCTTATACAATAATCCATCAATTTGTCATTGGGTACAACAACTACACACACACATACACACATGAAAGAAGATGACGATACAGGAATGGTCAGTAAAATGTGTAATATCAGGAGGCATCAGAAAAATGCAAAATTAAACCACAGTGAGGTGTCCCCACCAGAGTAGCTAAAATTGTTTAAACTGATAACAACAAGTGTTGACAGGAATGTGGATCAATGGGAATTCTTAAACATTGCTGGTAGAAATGCAAGATGGTACGATTTAGGGAAAAGTTTCAAAGTTTCTTCTAAAATTCAACATATATTTGCCATGCAATCTAGCAATTCCACATCTTGAAGTTTACTCAAGAGGAATGAAAGCCTGTGTCCATACTCACAACAGCTCTATGTACAGTACCCAGAAAATGGACAAACAAGCGGTGGTACATTCATTCACACAATACTATTCAGCAAAAGAACAAGCATGAGCCACTTACTGTCCACAACCACATACATATATGAATCTAAAAAGCATTATTATTGAACAACAGAATCCAGATACAAAAAGAATGTATGTGGTGAGATCCCATAACAGAACATTCAAATACAACATAAACGAATCCTTGATTGCAGAAACCAGGACAGTGGGTGCCTACATGGGGTGAGGACAAATGGACGGGGAATTTGAGGTAACCTCTAGGGTACACTGTGTCTTGGGATGTTGTTGTTGTTGTTAAGTGCCTTCGAGTTGGTTCCGACCCATAGCGACCCTGTACAGGGTTTCCGAGGGTGTAAATCTTTACGGGAGTAGAAAGCCTCATCTTTCTCCTGCGGAGCGGCTGGTAGTTTCGAACCACTGACCTTAAGGTTCGCAGCCCGATTCGTAACTACTACGCTACCAAAGCTCCTTGTCAAGTCGATTCTGACTCATAGCGATTATGTATAGGGTTTCCAACTAGCAATTGGTGGGTTTGAACTGCCCACATTGTGGTTTGCAGTCCAGTGCTGATTCTATAGTGCCACACCAGGAGTCCATATTATGTCACAGTTTGTTGTTGTTGTTGTTAAGTACCGTGGAGTTGGTTCCAACTCATAGTGACCCTATAGAGGGTTTCCGAGGCTGTAAATCTTTACAGGAGCAGAAAGCCTCATCTTTCTCCCCCGGAACGGCTGGTAGTTTCAAACTCCTGACCTGAAGGTTAGCAGCCCAATTAGTAACCACTACGCTACCAGAGCACAGGTGATGTCAAAACTCAATGAATTGTACACTCAAAATCTATGAATTTCACTATGTAATTTTCACTTCATTTTTTAAAAGATCACATATTAAAAATGGCTAATACTGGGTACCCACAAAGTAGCTTTTCTCAACCTCTTAAATGTCCCACTAAAATGAGCCAAACATACCAGAGACTTCTGGATACCAAAATCTGGTTCCTATTTATTCCTTACTAGCGGAATCCAGACTTTTTACCCAATACATGACAACCTCCCAGCCAGGAGTGTCCATAAGACAGACAGAGTCCCAGTTAGGAGAGAAGAGAGGACATTCTAGATGTTACTTGTGGAAAGAAGTAGCATTCTTTTCCTGCTGCCTCTTATACCTGCTGCTTAGAACAGCTTGGGCTGGCCTAAGCTCCTGGTCAAAGACCACACAGTCTGAAGACGCTCCGAGAGGGCCGTTCCTGCTGGCCGGCAATCCACCAGACCCAGGAGATGTCCCTCTGAGTGAGAGTCCTGTTTCTTACAGTTGGTCCTCCTCTTGGCTTCACTCCATAGACACACAAAGTAGACACTCAACATTAAGTCTCTTCAGCTTCATTCCATTCTCAGATCTCATGGGCATTTGACTAAACATACCTTCGAATGCTTGCTTTTTTTACTCTTTCTTCCCCCAAACTCACTTCACAAAGTGTCTTTACTTTTCTTACAAAAAAAGGAAGAAAATCAACACATAATTTCTGTGATTTACTGTGCAATCGAACATGCTAACAGACAAAATGACATTTTCCCGACAAATTATTTGGTGCCTATGATTTTCTGAGCACAGGAGCCAGATGGTCCTCACAGAAACTGAGGAGTGTATTCATGTAGTTCAAAGGTTTGCTTATTTTTTTTTTTTGGTCTTAAAAAAGACTCTATTGATTGTAACGTGCGGGCGCTACGGGAGAAATCCTGACCGTGGAGGAGGATGCTGATATTTACGACCACGCTGGTGCTCATTACAGGCGGTCCTGACAGGGGCTCATTAAAATCAATGTTTATGTTCCTTATGTATCTTCCCTATCTAATGTTCTTGGCATTGTGTTTATTACCCCGTTCCAACAAGCATGGAACATAGGAGCGGCTCTTTTTCCTTCTCGTGTCACACAGGAATAACGGGATCTGAGACATGAACGCAACCACTCACCATCAATGACGGACGGAGATTAAATGTTACGTTTCAGAGCAAAACATTTGAGGACGGTTCTATGTTTTTTTATTCATCTACAATTAGAAAAAGATGGGAGGGATTGGTCCAATGAGAGAGAGAGAGAAATATGTGTCCCCCTTGCTGTTTAGTGCCATTGACTCATTGCCGACTCACAGGGACACTGTGTAGGGTTTCCAGGGGCGGCTGGTGAGTTTGAACTGCCATCTTTGCTTGTCAAACTGACCTTGTGGTGCAGTGTTTATCCTACAGCACCACACCAGGACTCCTGGGTCCCCCCAGAAATGGCACTACCCTAAAATCACGCCCAAAGACACACTGCTATCAAGTCAATTCTGAGTCACAGTGACCCCAGGGGGCCGGGCAGGACTGTGATCGCTCACTGTCCCTTGGAACGACGGGTAGTTCGAACTGCTGAGATCATGCTTATCAGCCCAGTGCTTAACCCACTGTACCACCATGGTTCCTAAAAAGGAGATTCTATTCTCTCCTTCCTGAGATGGCTGCAATGGATGCAGACCCCCTCCCCACTTCCAAACACACTTACATGTCCTCCAGGAGGGGGACCAGAGCTCCTGGCTAGGCAATCCAGGACTTTAGCACAAAGCTTACCTGACCCATCAGGTGAGCCATGAAGATGGACCTGGGTTTAAAAATCAAGACGAACTATACGCATCACTGCCACCAAATTCCAGAGCCTACCCCCCGCCCCCCCCCACACACACCAACTTGTTGAGGGATCATCTATGAACTCCTCTGAAAACGCATACACTAAAACATCTTGAAGTTGCTATGAATACAAGGCTAAGTCTGTATGCATAACCACGAATGGTGGGAGAATTCTTTGGTAAAATCATGGACGCCCAAAGCAAACGCACAGTGAAGTCCAGAGCCGAATCTGTTTTAGAGCGATGGCGGTTTTTGTGAGTGGGAGGCCAGTGGCCAGCTAAAATGAGCAATCCTCATACGGCGCCTTCCTGTGGCTGTGAACAAAGCCATGCCTCGGGGAGTTACTCACTCGACTTCCGGGGTCTTCTGTCCAAGCAGCTTTATTCCGTGCAGCCCCTTCTCACAGCCAGACATCTCTATTTTCCCCAAAGGGCTGTCCACTACCTTGAAGTTCATTCCACAGGTCTTGTACATTTTCCCAAATACCTGAAGAGAAAATAAATAAAATCAGAAGACCATGAGAGAGTCTGGGCATTGTCCAGCACAACCGAGACATCACAGTTATCTTAGGACATAAAAGATCTCCCATAGCATTTGTTCCCATTTCTGGAACCAAATCATGTGATGCGGTGTGTTTACAGCAGACTTGTGTTGGGCTGGTCACTGCTCCCAGGACATGAGAGGAAGTATGTCCTAAACTCCATCTCATAATGCTTGGGAGTGATAAGGAGCTGGAAGGGCCTTCAGCCAAGTACCCACCACAATGGCCCCAGACCTCCAGCCAATGCTCTGGACGTGGCTCTGGGTGGACGTGTTCCAGCCGAGCCTCAGGGTGCTCAAGCCCATCAGTCAGCCAGTGCAATACCACAGAAAGGCAGCAATGGTAATGTACTTCCTGGTCAGTTCGATTCAGGAAATGGGGCGTGAGCATCTGCCTCGCTCACTTCAGACACCCGGAACAGTCACCATGGAGCCCTTTTTTGGGCACAAGGAAACGCTGGCTTCATACTGAGCCCTGAGGGTGCAATGCTTAGGCACTTGATTACTAACAAAAAGTGAGCAGTTGGAACCCACAAGCCCATCTGTAGGAGAAAAGACCTGGGGATCTGGCCCTGTAAAGATGACAGTCTAGGACACCCTAAGTGACCAGCCGGCCTACTCTGCCACATGGAGCTGCTCGGAGTCAGAATCGATTCCATGGCACTCAAACCCAATGGGCAGTCTGTCCCCAGGCCATCAGCGTCTGGCCACGTGGTGAGGGGGTACCTGCCCCCTGAACCAGGGTGTCAGACACCAGGAGACACAGCTGGAGTATCAGGGGGTGGGCAGTGGGCAGCAGGTGGAGTGGAGCCTCAGTGGGGTGAGGGTGGTGAGGAGCCCGAGGGCAGGGCCTACATGGAAGGGTAATACCAGGCACACAGGGCACGGACACCATCGGACCCAACAACCTGACCACAGAACAAATGCAGGGTCCGCACTGTGTGGACGGGGCCAAGCCACCACCTGACCAGGTGTCAGCCACAGCCAGACTGACAAGGAGCTGCTTACCGCAGGAGGAAGCAGGACAGGGCTGTTCTTCAGGGTACAACAGGCCGGACCACCCCCCACCCACCTGGTGAGAGCATCTCAGGTCCCTGCCGGTGGGACTCTCAGGGTGTAACAGGCCAGACCACCCCCACCTGGTGAGGGCATCTCGGGTCCCCGCAGGTGGAACACCCAGGGCACATGCATGGGGCGCATGGGGACAAGGACTCTGGGGAAATAACAGCAAAGGCCCCCACCCAGGAGTTGCCTGGGGACAGCACATGGACTTGGCACGAAGCCAGAGCTGACATCTAGGGGACCCTCGCTGTGGGCCATTTCTGAAGGTGGTTTTTCCCCCAAAACCATGAAAAGCGTGACAAAGGGTTATGAGTGGCACACTTGCATCTCCACAGCTCCTCCAGGCTTCTATGCAGACCCCATGAAAGGCGGATGTGGAGGGGCCGAGCAAAGACAAAGCCCAGGGCAGGGCTGCCACGCGCCATTGGGCAGACTCTGACTCAGTGACAGGTGGGCCTAAGCAGCCAGGAGACGTGTCCTGTTAACAGTAACACACACAGGTCATCCAGCAGGTATGACACCAGCGTGAACACACCTGTACATCCCAGCCAAAGGCATCTCAGGAAACCCGCTCCAAACCAAAACACCAAGCCCTCTGCTGCTGCCACGTCGGCCTCCAGAAACCCCCTGAGCCTGTCGGCAAGGAACTGGGTTCCAAAGGGTTTTCAAGAGCTGATGGTATGACATGAAATTGTCTGACGTGGGATTGCCAGACCTTTAACTGTAGGTACCGCTGGGCAGATTTGAACCTTCAGCCTTCTGGTGAGCAAACACATTCATTAACCATTTGCACCATACAAGGACTCCACCTGAGACTCCCCAAATCTCATGACAGCCGCACATCATACTGTGACCCAGTGAGCCTCACTTTTTATCAGGAGGGACAACACTGCGCTTCCCTCACTTTGCATGGCCCCCGACGAAGCGGTCTCCAGCAGAGAGAGGCAGTCACCTGAGGAAGCACAGACAGCGTCCTGCCACGTGGCTTTCCCTCGGGTGTGGGACCCCACCCACAGCACGTCCCCACGAATTGGCAGTGTTCCAGCACCCAGGTACCCGCTAACCACCACGTCGCTGTGACAATGTGTCATGAGTCACAATGAGCTGGCAGCCCGGCGTTCAGAATGAAATGTCACTTCTTAAGGCTGTTATGTCTGGCGAAGCTTCAGCTTAAATATGTCACAGCAGAAAATAACCTCATTCTTCACAGCCCACTAAAGTTGGGTGAAGTTTAACAGGCTTCTCAGAGAACAGGTAGCATGTTGGCACGCGCCGGGAGACCGGAGGGAAACTCACTGACTCTCTCAATTAGGCTCAGCAGCCGAGGCCACCCGGCTCCGGCTCGAGAAGAGACTGATCAGCTCTGGCTTGGTGCTGAGAAACTTATGGAAGACAACACACGCTCCCTCTGACAAGCCGGCTCTGGTGGCAAAGTTAGAACATCTCAAACTGCTCTCCAAAGAGCCGAGTCCCGTGATTTGAAATCCTCTTCCCCTAGGAAGCAAGAGGTCTTACAGTATCAGAGGATGGCACTCATCGGTGGGGAGGAGAGGTGGCATGAACAGGTACAGACTGCCTACCCGCACACAGATCTCTCTGTCATCCAAGCCACTTGATTCGGTGGACGGCACAATTATTTAACTCCAGGAGGTGGGGCAATGCGGTTTCTAGGTTCACTCACCAAATCCTCCTTGTACGGATTTGGAGAGTCCAGAACTGGTACCACCCAAGCTCCTCACAGCGAACTCAGCAAACGTCCAAGAATAAGAGCCACCCAGAACAAGAGGGGGAAGCCCCCTCCACCAAGGAGGCCTCTGGTAGCCTGTGCACATGGACCTCCCTCTCAAACACAGCTATCCCTAGGCTCATGATCTCTGTGAAGGCCTCACCCTTACAGCCGTCCCCACCCCCAAGCACTCCCTGGGTGCAGGCTACAAAACCACAGGAAGCTCTGAGTCAGAAAATCTTTAAAAAGACCACACTTATTAGTGGAAAAGAGACTGGCGGAACCCCAAGACCATGGCCCTTAGTTGCCCCTCAGACCTAGAGTTAAACCCACATGGTGTTGCTACTGTTACGTGCCTTTGAGTCAGTCCGGCTCATAGTAACCTCGTGTATACCAGAGCCATGCCCTGGCCAGTCCTGCGCTGTCTTCACAATTGCTACTACACTTGAGCCCATTGTCGTTACCATTGTGCCAAGCCATCTGCTTCTTTGTTGCCCTTCCACTTTACCAAGCATGATGGCCTGCTCCAGGGATTGATTCCTCTTGATAACGTCCAAAGTATGAGACGAAGTCTGGCCATCTTGGCTTTAAGGAGCATTCTGGTTGTAGTTCTTCCAACAGAGATTTGTTTATTCTTCTAGCAGTCCATGGTATCTTTAATAATCTTCTCCAATTATCATAACTCAAATGCATCAATTCTTCTATTGTCTTCCTTATTCACTGTCCAAGTTTCATATGCACATGAGGTGATTGAAAATACCATGAATTGGGTCAAGAACACTTTAGTCTGAACATTGACATCTTTGCTTTTGAACACTTTGCTTGAATGTATTGCCTAACACAATACGTCGTTGGATTTCTTGGCTGCTGTTTTCATGAATGTTGATGGCGGAGTCAAGCAAAATGAAGTCTTTGACAACTTCAATCTTTTCTCCATTTATCATGATGTTATTCATTGGTCCAGCAGTGAGGATTTTTGTTTTCTTTACATTGAGGTGCAATCCATACTGAAGGCTGTGGTCTTTGATCTTCTTCAGTAAGTATTTTAAGTCCTCTTTGCTCTCGGTAAGCAAGGTTGTATCATCTGATCTGCATATTGCAGGTTGTTAATGAGTCTTCCTCCAATTCTGATGTCACACTCTTGTTCATATAATTCATCATACAAGTTGAGTAAACATAGTGAAAGAACACAACCCTGGTGGCACACTTTGCTGATTCTAAACCATTCAGTGTCCCCTTGTTCTGTTCAAACAACTACCTCTTGGTCTATGTACAGGTTCCTCATGAGCACCTTGAAGTGTTTTGGAATATTCATTCTCCTCAATGTTGTCCATAGCTCGTCATTATCCACACAGTTGAAAGCCCTTCTATAGTCATTAAAGCACAGATAAACGTCTTTCTGGTATTCTCTGCTTTCAGTCAAGACCCGTCTGACATCAGTAATGATAATGCTCGTTCCACATTCTCATCTAAATCCAGCTCAAACCTCTGGCAGTTGTCTGTTAATGTACTGTTGCAGCGGTTTTTAAATGATCTTCAACAAAATTTTACTTGCATGTGATATTAATGAGGTTGTCTGAGATTTCTGCATTCCATTCAGTTACCTCTCCTGAATGGGCACAAACATGGATATTTTCCAAACAGTTAGCTGGTTAGCTGTCTTCCAAATCACTTGGCAGAGATGAGTGAGTGCTTCCAGTGCGCCACATCAGTTTGTTGAAGGATTTCAATTTGTAGTCCATCAATTCCTGGTGCCTTGTTCTTTGCCAATGCTTTCAGCACACCTTGGACTTCCTCCTTCAGTGCCACTGCCTCTTGAAGTGGTTCAACACTGACCATTTATTTTTGTTACGTGATTCTGTCCTTCCGCCTTCTCTTGATGTTTTCTCCACCATTCAGTATTTCCCCGAAACAACAGACAGGTGTGTAAGATGGTCAACAGCACCAGGGATGTACACACTCCCCAGAACAATCAACCACACCACACCAGAAAGAAGAGAGCCCACAAGGCAGGCAGGCAGGATAGGTGGAAACAGGACACACAGGGTGGAGTAGGAAGAATGCTGTTACACTGTGAGGACTGAAGTCAATGTCATGACACAAAATGGATTCTGGCTGTTGAACGGAAAGCCAATTTGCTTTGTAA